AGGCTGCTAGCTAGAACTACATTGTTTTCCGTTGTCGTGTAGGAGCCTGGCCGTTTTAGCTAATTGCTCAGTCTAAACCGGGCCTTACATCCATTCTATACTAAACTAAACTGTACTGTACTGCACTGATTATGACTTTTTAATATTTTTGTTGCTTTTAGATTTGAGCGTAGCGTCTAATTGTTCCGGATGTTTGGATGTGGCAACATACACAGAGGAGATCAGCCGCTTGAAGAGAGAGTTCGAAGACATCCAGAGAATGATCCTGGGACAAGAGCAGGTACGGAAGCCCGTCTGGGTCAAACAGAAACACACACAAACATACACAGAGCGAGAAACCAGAGAGAGACAAAAGAGTCCAGAGAGAGACCAGAGAGAGACACCAGAGAGACCAGAGAGAGACCAGAGAGAGACCAGAGAGAGACCAGAGAGAAAACAGAGAGAGACACCAGAGAGAGACCTGAGAGAGACCAGAGAGAGACCAGAGAGAGACCAGAGAGAGACCAGAGAGAGACCAGAGAGAGACCAGAGAGAGACCTGAGAGAGACCAGAGAGAGACCAGAGAGAGACCAGAGAGAGACCAGAGAGAGACCAGAGAGAGACCAGAGAGAAACGAGAGAGAGACCAAACAGTCCAGAGAGAGACCAGAGAGACCAGAGAGAGACCAAAGAGACTAGAGAGAGACCAGAGGGAAACCAGAGAAAGACCAGAGAGAGATTAGAAAGAAACCAGAGAGAAACCAGAGAGAAACAAGAGTCTAGAGAAAGACCAGACAGAGACCAGAAAGAACAGAAAGAGATGAGAGAGACCAGAGAGACACCAAAGAGACTAAAGAGAGACAAGAAAGAAACCAGAGAGAGACCAGAGAGAGACCAGAGAGACAAGACAGAGAGAATGATCCTGGGACAAGTGCAGGTATGGAAGCCCATCTGGGTCAAACATGAACACACACAAACACATTCCAGCCCGTTTATAGTTGCGGTGTTGTTACGGTCTGTCTCAGCTTCTGGACCAGTCCTCCCAGGTCCAGGCCAACCTCCAGGCTGCCAGTGGGCGTCTGACCCGGGACGTGCAGAACCATCTCAGGGCCCTCAAGGTCCTGAACCAGACCCTGGAAAGGTTCTTGGACCAGGTGCAGGGCTGGAGAGACGTGATTGAGGAGACCGAGGAGAAGATGAAGAACTTCGCGGAGGACCAGGACGACGTGAAGGCGATAGCAGAACAAGTCAACACGACTGTGGCACTGAGGTACGAAAGGACACAGAGAGACCAGAGAAAGACCAGAGAGAGACCAGAGAGAGACCAGAGAGAGACCATAGAGAGAGACCAGAGAGAGACCAGAGAGAGACCAGAAAGAGACCAGAAAGAGACCAGAGAGAGAGCAGAGAGAGAGCAGAGAGAGAGCAGAGAGAGACCAGAGAGAGACCAGAAAGAGACCAGAAAGAGACCAGAGAGAGACAATAGAGAGACCAGAGAGAGGAGAGAGAGGAGAGAGAGAGCAGAGAGAGAGCAGAGAGAGACCAGAGAGAGACCAGAGAGAGACCAGAGAGACCTACAGAGAGACCAGAGAGAGACCAGAGAGAGACCAGAGAGAGACCAGAGAGACCTACAGAGAGACCAGAGAGAGAGCAGAGAGAGACCAGAGGGAGACCAGAGAGAGACCCGAGAGAGACCAGAGAGAGACAAGAGAGACCAGAGAGACCAGAGAGAGACCAGAGAGAGACCAAAGAGAAACAACAGAGAGGGAGAGAGCGGAGACCAGAGCTGGATGTTGCCAAGAAGGGCTTTTTCACTTTTCTCACTTTTCCGTCTGAAAAAGAGGATGTAGAGATGTACCTGTGTCCAAATAAACGAGCATGAGAAAACTAGCGACAGAAGAAACTGTTTTTAGAGAAATTTGTCCATTTTCCTCCGTTCCTCCATCCAAACCATTGACACCGACTTCCTGTTCTCTGTTCCAGCACCATGTGGATCGATGCCCTGCAGAGGAAGGCGGACGAGGAGGCCCTGGTCCTGCAGAAGCTGACCGTAGACTGGCAGGACTACACCAAAGTCCTCACTGCCATCAAGTCCAACACCAGCAGCACCACCCAGACCATGCGCTTCCTGCAGACCAGCATCCAGGCGGACCAGCAGCGCATTGCCATGTCCACCGAGATCTTCTATGACCTCACCCAGCAGGTCAGACAGAGAGACCAGAGAGAGAGAGACCAGAGAGAGACCAGAGATAGACCAGAGATAGACCAGAGAGAGACCACAGAGAGACCACAGAGAGACCACAGAGAGACCAGAGAGAGACCAGAGAGAGACCACAGAGAGACCACAGAGAGACCAGAGAGAGACCAGAGAGAGACCAGAGAGAGACCACAGAGAGACCAGAGAGAGACCAGAGAGAGACCAGAGAGAGACCACAGAGAGACCACAGAGAGACCAGAGAGAGACCAGAGTGAGACCAGAGAGAGAGACCAGAGAGAGAGACCAGAGAGAGAGACCAGAGTGAGACCAGAGTGAGACCAGAGTGAGACCAGAGAGAGACCAGAGAGAACAGAGAGAGAGACCAGAGAGAGAGACCAGAGAGAGAGACCAGAGTGAGACCAGAGTGAGACCAGAGTGAGACCAGAGAGAGACCAGAGAGAGACCAGAGAGAGAGACCAGAGTGAGACCAGAGTGAGACCAGAGAGAGACCAGAGAGAGACCAGAGAGAGACCAAAGAGAACAGAGAGAGACCAGAAAGGCTGTAGATCCAGGACTGAGACTGCAGATCCAGGACTGAGGCTGTAGATCCAGGACTGAGACTGCAGATCCAGGACTGAGGCTGTAGATCCAGGAGACCTCAACATCTAAAACCGTGTTTGTGGTTTTCAGGTGATGAATCTCCAGATGCAACTTGACAATGTGACATCATTCATGGACGAGCACGAGGAGAACATGCACGACCTCCAGTACCATTCAAAGTAAACCTCCAGAACCATCAAAGTCCTGGTACCTCTGACACACACACACTCACTCCTGCTCTCCCCGTGGTCTCAGGTACTACGAGAACCGGACCGGCGAGCGTTTCTCCGCCCTGGACGGCCGTCTGAACTCGATCGAGATGGAGATAGACACGATCTCGTCCAGTATCAACGCCACCGTGAGCCATGTCCAGAGCATGTACAAATACATCAGTGTCGAGAGCTCCACCTGCCAGAGCCGCCTGGGACGTCAGACCGAAGACCTGCAGGTACCTCAGACGCTCTCTCCAAAGGTCCCGGGTCAAAACCAGAGAGAGAGAGAGAGAGAGAGCAGAGAGAGAGAACAGAGAGAGAGAGCAGAGAGAGAGAACAGAGAGAGAGAGCAGAGAGAGAGAGGACAAAGGGAGAACAAAGAGAGAGAGGACAGTGAGACCAGAGAGAGGGACCAGAGAGAGACCAGAGAGAGAGACCAGAGAGAAAGACCAGAGAGAGAGACCAGAGAGAGAGATCAGAGAGAGAGACCAGAGAGAGAGACCAGAGAGAGAGAGATCAGAGAGAGAGACCAGAGAGAGAGACCAGAGAGAGAACAGAGAGAGACCAGAGAGAGACCAGAGAGAGAGACCAGAGAGAGAGACCAGAGAGAGAGACCAGAGAGAGAACAGAGAGAGACCAAAGAGAGACCAGAGAGAGAGACCAGAGAGAGAACAGAGAGAGACCAAAGAGAGACCAGAGAGGAAGACAAAAGAGAGAGACTACAGAGAGAGAAACCAAAGTGAGACCAGTGTAAGAGGCCAGAGAGAGAGAGAAACCAGAGAGCGACCAGAGAGAGCGACCAGAGAGAGCGACCAGAGAGAGCGACCTGAGAGAGCGACCAGAGAGAGAGACCAGAGAGAGAGAGAGACCAAAGAGAGACCAGAGAGAAAGACAAAAGAGAGAGACTACCAAGAGAGAAACCAGAGAGAGAGACCAGAGAGAGAGACCAGAGAGAGACCAGAGAGAGAGCAGAGAGAGAGCAGAGAGAGACCAGAGAGAGACCAGAGAGAGACCAGAGAGAGAGACCAGAGGGAGAGACCAGAGAGAGACCAGGGAGAAAGACCAGAGGGAGAGACCAGAGAGAGAGCAGAGAAAGACCAGAAAGAGACCAGAGAGAGACTAAGGAGAGAGACCAGAGAGAGAGACCAGAGAGAGACCAGAGAGAGACCAGGGAGAGACCAGGGAGAGACCAGAGAGAGACCAAAGAGAGACCAGAGAGAAAGACAAAAGAGAGAGACTACAGAGAGAGAAAACAAAGTGAGACCAGTGTAAGAGGCCAGAGAGAGAGAGAAACCAGAGAGAGAGACCAGAGAGTGACCAGAGAGAGTGACCAGAGAGAGCGACCAGAGAGAGCGACCAGAGAGAGAGACCAAAGAGAAAGACAAAAGAGAGAGACTACAGAGAGAGACCAGAGAGAAAGACCAGAGAGAGAGACCAGAGAGAGTGACCAGAGAGAGACCAGAGAGAGAGACCAGAGAGAGAGACCAGAGAGAGACCAGAGAGAGAGACCAGAGAGAGACCAGAGAGAGAGACCAGAGAGAGACCAAAGAGAGAGACCAAAGAGAGAGACCAGAGAGAGAGACCAGAGAGAAAGACCAGAGAGAGAGACTAGAGAGAGACCAGAGAGAGAGACCAGAGAGAAAGACCAGAGAGAGAGACCAAAGAGAGAGACCAGAGTTGCGGTTGTGTGTTTAAATGTTTCCTTGCTTCCACAGAGTCTGAACAGCTCTGTGCTGCTGCTGCTGACTCTGGGGGACTCTGTGAGGAGACAGAACCTTCTGCTCAACATGCGCCTGGACATGGACCTCAGGAACCTGTCAATCATCACAGAGGAGCTGAAGCTGGTGGACGTCAGGCACACACAACTCCTCAACAACTACACTATCGTCACAGGTCAGACACACAACTCCTCAACAACTACACTATCGTCAAAGGTCAGACACACAACTGCTCAACAACTACACTATCGTCAAAGGTCAGACACACAACTCCTCAACAACTACACTATCGTCAAAGGTCAGACACACAACTCCTCAACAACTACACTATCGTCAAAGGTCAGACACACAACTCCTCAACAACTACACTATCGTCAAAGGTCAGACACACAACTCCTCAACAACTACACTATCGTCAAAGGTCAGACACACAACTCCTCAACAACTACACTATCGTCAAAGGTCAGACACACAACTCCTCAACAACTACACTATCGTCAAAGGTCAGACACACAACTCCTCAACAACTACACTATCGTCAAAGGTCAGACACACAACTCCTCAACAACTACACTATCGTCAAAGGTCAGACACACAACTCCTCAACAACTACACTATCGTCAAAGGTCAGACACACAACTCCTCAACAACTACACTATCGTCAAAGGTCAGACACACAACTCCTCAACAACTACACTATCGTCAAAGGTCAGACACACAACTCCTCAACAACTACACTATCGTCAAAGGTCAGACACACAACTCCTCAACAACTACACTATCGTCAAAGGTCAGACACACAACTCCTCAACAACTACACTATCGTCAAAGGTCAGACACACAACTCCTCAACAACTACACTATCGTCAAAGGTCAGACACACAACTCCTCAACAACTACACTATCGTCAAAGGTCAGACACACAACTCCTCAACAACTACACTATCGTCAAAGGTCAGACACACAACTCCTCAACAACTACACTATCGTCAAAGGTCAGACACACAACTCCTCAACAACTACACTATCGTCAAAGGTCAGAGACACACAACTGCTCAACAACTACACTATCGTCAAAGGTCAGACACACAACTCCTCAACAACTACACTATCGTCAAAGGTCAGACAGACAACTCCTCAACAACTACACTATCGTCAAAGGTCAGACACACAACTCCTCAACAACTACACTATCGTCAAAGGTCAGACACACAACTCCTCAACAACTACACTATCGTCAAAGGTCAGACACACAACTCCTCAACAACTACACTATCGTCAAAGGTCAGACAGACAACTCCTCAACAACTACACTATCGTCAAAGGTCAGACACACAACTCCTCAACAACTACACTATCGTCAAAGGTCAGACACACAACTCCTCAACAACTACACTATCGTCAAAGGTCAGACACACAACTCCTCAACAACTACACTATCGTCAAAGGTCAGACACACAACTCCTCAACAACTACACTATCGTGTCAAAGGTCAGACACACAACTCCTCAACAACTACACTATCGTCAAAGGTCAGAGACACACAACTGCTCAACAACTACACTATCGTCAAAGGTCAGACACACAACTCCTCAACAACTACACTATCGTCAAAGGTCAGACAGACAACTCCTCAACAACTACACTATCGTCAAAGGTCAGACACACAACTCCTCAACAACTACACTATCGTCAAAGGTCAGACACACAACTCTCAACAACTACACTATCGTCAAAGGTCAGACACACAACTCAACTCAACAACTACACTATACGTCAAAGGTCAGACACACAACTCCTCAACAACTACACTATCGTCAAAGGTCAGACACACAACTCCTCAACAACTACACTATCGTCAAAGGTCAGACACACAACTCCTCAACAACTACACTATCGTCAAAGGTCAGACACACAACTCCTCAACAACTACACTATCGTCAAAGGTCAGACACACAACTCCTCAACAACTACACTATCGTCAAAGGTCAGACACACAACTCCTCAACAACTACACTATCGTCAAAGGTCAGACACACAACTCCTCAACAACTACACTATCGTCAAAGGTCAGACACACAACTCCTCAACAACTACACTATCGTCAAAGGTCAGACACAAAAGTCAGTCAGACACACAACTCTCAACAACTACACTATCGTCAAAGGTCAGACACACAACTCTCAACAACTACACTATCGTCAAAGGTCAGACACAACTCCTCAACAACTACACTATCGTCAAAGGTCAGACACACAACTCCTCAACAACTACACTATCGTCAAAGGTCAGACACACAACTCCTCAACAACTACACTATCGTCAAAGGTCAGACACACAACTCCTCAACAACTACACTATCGTCAAAGGTCAGACACACAACTCCTCAACAACTACACTATCGTCAAAGGTCAGACACACAACTCCTCAACAACTACACTATCGTCAAAGGTCAGACACACAACTCCTCAACAACTACACTATCGTCAAAGGTCAGACACACAACTCCTCAACAACTACACTATCGTCAAAGGTCAGACACACAACTCCTCAACAACTACACTATCGTCAAAGGTCAGACACACAACTCCTCAACAACTACACTATCGTCAAAGGTCAGACACACAACTCCTCAACAACTACACTATCGTCAAAGGTCAGACACACAACTCCTCAACAACTACACTATCGTCAAAGGTCAGACACACAACTCCTCAACAACTACACTATCGTCAAAGGTCAGACACACAACTCCTCAACAACTACACTATCGTCAAAGGTCAGACACACAACTCCTCAACAACTACACTATCGTCAAAGGTCAGACACACAACTCCTCAACAACTACACTATCGTCAAAGGTCAGACACACAACTCCTCAACAACTACACTATCGTCAAAGGTCAGACACACAACTCCTCAACAACTACACTATCGTCAAAGGTCAGACACACAACTCCTCAACAACTACACTATCGTCAAAGGTCAGACACACAACTCCTCAACAACTACACTATCGTCAAAGGTCAGACACACAACTCCTCAACAACTACACTATCGTCAAAGGTCAGACACACAACTCCTCAACAACTACACTATCGTCAAAGGTCAGACACACAACTCCTCAACAACTACACTATCGTCAAAGGTCAGACACACAACTCCTCAACAACTACACTATCGTCAAAGGTCAGACACAAACAACAACTACACATATCGTCAAAGGTCAGACACACAACTCCTCAACAACTACACTCGTCAAAGGTCAGACACACAACTCCTCAACAACTACACTATCGTCAAAGGTCAGACACACAACTCCTCAACAACTACACTATCGTCAAAGGTCAGACACACAACTCCTCAACAACTACACTATCGTCAAAGGTCAGACACACAACTCCTCAACAACTACACTATCGTCAAAGGTCAGACACACAACTCCTCAACAACTACACTATCGTCAAAGGTCAGACACACAACTCCTCAACAACTACACTATCGTCAAAGGTCAGACACACAACTCCTCAACAACTACACTATCGTCAAAGGTCAGACACACAACTCCTCAACAACTACACTATCGTCAAAGGTCAGTCAAAGGTCAGACACACAACTCCTCAACAACTACACTATCGTCAAAGGTCAGACACACAACTCCTCAACAACTACACTTATCGTCAAAGGTCAGACACACAACTCCTCAACAACTACACTATCGTCAAAGGTCAGACACACAACTCCTCAACAACTACACTATCGTCAAAGGTCAGACACACAACTCCTCAACAACTACACTATCGTCAAAGGTCAGACACACAACTCCTCAACAACTACACTATCGTCAAAGGTCAGACAGACAACTCCTCAACAACTACACTATCGTCAAAGGTCAGACACACAACTCCTCAACAACTACACTATTGTCAAAGGTCAGACACACAACTCCTCAACAACTACACTATCGTCAAAGGTCAGACACACAACTCCTCAACAACTACACTATCGTCAAAGGTCAGACACACAACTCCTCAACAACTACACTATCGTCAAAGGTCAGAGACACACAGACACACAGAGACACACAAAGACACACAGAGACACACAGAGCAGTATCATCTGTTTCTATGTTTTCTCATGTTTACTTCCTGTTCCACATGTTTACTTCCTATTTTCTCATGTTTACTTCCTGTTCCATATGTTTACTTCCTGTTTTCTCATGTTTACTTCCTGTTCCACATGTTTACTTCCTGTTTCCTCATGTTTACTTGCTGTTCCTCATGTTTACTTCCTGTTTTCTCATGTTTACTTCCTGTTCCTCCGCACAGGGGCCCCGGGGCCTCCAGGACCTCGAGGCTTTAAAGGTGACACTGGTCCTAAGGGCCCAGTTGGACTGAGCGGAGGCAAAGGGGACCGAGGACTGACCGGGGGCCGTGGGCCTCAGGGAGAGAGAGGGGTTCCGGGACCTAAGGGGCCTCTGGGAGAGCCAGGACCCAGTGGGACCAGGGGCGGAGCTGGACCGAAGGGAGCCAAGGGGGCCATAGGACCCCCTGGGCCCAAAGGAGAGAGAGGCCAGAAAGGAGACGCTGGAAGAAGTGGCAAAGATGGACTCCCAGCACTAGACGGACAAAAGGGAGAAAGAGGAAAAGACGGTTCTCGAGGACCAGCTGGACCTCCAGGGGCCCGGGGAAAACCAGGGCCTATAGGTCCCCCTGGGGCACCAGGGACACCCGGCTCTCCTGGGATGTCCTACCACCACCACCTGACAGACGGCCAGACTGTGGCCCCCGGAGTGGACTCAAAGAGGCACTAAACACAAAACACAAACTGGACAAAGTTGTCGTTTGTCATTTTGGACAAATGTGTCGTTATCAAACTCTTTAATGTTGACTTTAGTCTGCTGCAGCTCTAACTCGTACCTGTGAGTCGTACCTGTGAGTCGTACCTGTGAGTACAAGGACAGTAATCTCTTGTGCACTGCTAATCTGTGTCAAAAGTAAACAGTTGAATGTATCAGGTCCTGATTATAAAATGTTTACTTTAACTCAGTCACGTTTCAGAGCTGGCTCTGAGAATGTCCTCAGCTTTAGCTTTCACCAAAAAGAACTGTTAGCTTCATGTTTTATCAATGCTAAATGCTAAATGCTAAATGCTAATCGTTAGCACAACAGATTCGCCCAAAACAGGAGCCAGGAGTATTGTTCTTCCTTCATTTTCAGATGTAAAAACACGAGCGATGTTGGAGCAGGTTCTTTTTCGGAGGAGTGGATGACCTTCAAGATGGTCGAGGGTTCGGATCTCGCTGCATCTCTAACATCTTTGAGGCGAGAAAATTGGAAGAAAGAGCCGTTAGCTCTCTGTGTAGCTGTAATGAAACATGTTCTGGAGCCTTCTCTTTACTGCCATCTAGTGTCTGTTCTTTCTAAGGACCAAAGGGACGGGCTCCGAGTCGCAATCACAGGGACCGGCTCAGAGTCACGATCACAGGGACCGGCTCAGAGTCACGATCACAGGGACCGGCTCAGAGTCACAATCACAGGGACCGGCCCAGAGTCACGATCACAGGGACCGGCTCAGAGTCACGATCACAGGGACCGGCTCAGAGTCACGATCACAAGGACCGGCTCAGAGTCACGATCACAGGGACCGGCTCAGAGTCACGATCACAGGGACCGGCTCAGAGTCACGATCACAGGGACCGGCTCAGAGTCACGATCACAGGGACCGGCTCAGAGTCACGATCACAGGGACCGGCTCAGAGTCACGATCACAGGGACCGGCCCAGAGTCACGATCACAGGGACCGGCTCAGAGTCACGATCACAGGGACCGGCTCAGAGTCACGATCACAGGGACCGGCTCAGAGTCACGATCACAGGGACCGGCTCAGAGTCACGATCACAGGGACCGGCCCAGAGTCACGATCACAGGGACCGGCTCAGAGTCACGATCACAGGGACCGGCCCAGAGTCACGATCACAGGGACCGGCTCAGAGTCACGATCACAGGGACCGGCTCAGAGTCACGATCACAGGGACAGACTCTGAGTCACGATCACAGGGACAGACTCTGAGTCACGATCACAGGGACAGACTCTGAGTCACGATCACAGGGACCGGCTCAGAGTCACGATCACAGGGACCGGCTCAGAGTCACGATCACAGGGACCGGCTCAGAGTCACGATCACAAGGACCGGCTCAGAGTCACGATCACAGGGACAGACTCTGAGTCACGATCACAGGGACAGACTCTGAGTCACGATCACAGGGACAGACTCTGAGTCACGATCACAGGGACAGACTCTGAGTCACGATCACAGGGACAGACTCTGAGTCACGATCACAGGGACAGACTCTGAGTCACGATCACAGGGACAGACTCTGAGTCACGATCACAGGGGCCGGCTCTAGTGTGTTTTAACTGTTGTCATGACGTGCGACTGGTTTGCACCGAACTTCAATAAAACTTTGGTCAAACAGAGACTTTGGGACTCACTAAAATCTAACCCAACTCTAAATCTCTCTCTCTGGTCTCTCTCTCTGGTCTCTCTCTCTGGTCTCTCTCTCTGGTTTCTCTCTCTGGTATCTCTCTGGTATCTCTCTCTGGTATCTCTCTCTGGTCTCTCTCTATGGTCTCTCTCTGGTCTCTCTCTGGTCTCTCTCTATGGTCTCTCTCTGGTGTATCTCTGGTCTCTCTCTCTGGTCTCTCTCTATGGTCTCTCTCTATGGTCTCTCTCTGGTCTCTCTCTGATCTATCTATGGTCTCTCTCTCTCTGGTCTTTCTCTGATCTCTCTCTCTGGTCTCTCTCTATGGTCTCTCTCTATGGTCTCTCTCTATGGTCTCTCTCTATTGTCTCTCTCTATGGTCTCTCTCTGGTCTCTCTCTGGTCTCTCTCTCTGGCCTCTCTCTGGTCTCTCTCTGGTCTCTCTCTAGTCTCTCTCTGGTCTCTCTCTGGTCTTTCGCTGATCTCTCTCTCTGGTCACTCTCTGGTCTCTCTCTATGGTCTCTCTCTATGGTCTCTCTCTGGTGTCTCTCTCTATGGTCTCTCTCTATGGTCTCTCTCTATGGTCTCTCTATGGTCTCTCTCTATTGTCTCTCTCTATGGTCTCTCTCTGGTCTTTCTCTGATCTCTCTCTCTGGTCACTCTCTGGTCTCTCTCTCTGGTCTCTCTCTGGTGTCTCTCTCTATGGTCTCTCTCTGGTCACTCTCTGGTCTCTCTCTCTGGTCTCTCTTTGGTGTCTCTCTCTGGTGTCTCTCTCTGGTCTCTCTCTGGTCACTCTCTGGTCACTCTCTGGTCTCTCTCTATGGTCTCTCTCTGGTGTCTCTCTCTGGTCTCTCTCTGGTCACTCTCTGGTCACTCTCTGGTCTCTCTCTATGGTCTCTCTCTGGTGTCTCTCTCTGGTCTCTCTCTGGTCTTTCTCTGATCTCTCTCTCTGGTCACTCTCTGGTCTCTCTCTATGGTCTCTCTCTATGGTCTCTCTCTGGTGTCTCTCTCTATGGTCTCTCTCTATGGTCTCTCTCTCTGGTCTCTCTCTGGTCACTCTCTGGTCACTCTCTGGTCTCTCTCTGGTCTTTCTCTGGTCTTTCTCTGATCTCTCTCTCTGGTCTCTCTCTATGGTCTCTCTCTATGGTCTCTCTCTATGGTCTCTCTCTGGTGTCTCTCTCTATGGTCTCTCTCTATGGTCTCTCTCTCTGGTCTCTCTCTGGTCTCTCTCTCTGGTCTCTCTCTGGTCTCTCTATGGTCTCTCTCTATGGTCTCTCTCTGGTGTCTCTATGGTCTCTCTCTATGGTCTCTCTCTGGTGTCTCTCTCTGGTCTCTCTCTGGTCTCTCTCTGGTCTCTCTCTGGTCTCTCTCTGGTCTCTCTCTGGTCTCTCTCTGGTCTCTCTCTGGTCTCTCTCTGGTCTCTCTCTGGTCTCTCTCTGGTCTCTCTCTGGTCTCTCTGGTCTCTCTCTGTCTCTCTCTGGTCTCTCTCTGGTCTCTCTCTGGTCTCTCTCTGGTCTCTCTCTGGTCTCTCTCTATGGTCTCTCTCTGGTCTCTCTCTGGTCTTCAGTGGGCTATTGTTACGCCATAAACAAGGGAGTGGTGCTGTGGACATTAATTCCAAACACATGGCTGGATTCCTGAGCGCTGCCACTTTTAGCTAAAGCAGAACTCGACCCAAATCCAGAACTCATTGATACAGTTTAAGACAGGGGTGATGTGTTCTATCAATGAACTGCAATGAGTGACATTATTGGGGTTGTAGTTATATGGTTTCAGACTGACAACCCAGAGAGAAACCAGAGAGAGACAAGAGAGAGAGACCAGAGAGAGAGAGAGATCTAAGAAAGAAGCCAGAGAGAGAGGCAAGAGCGAGAGAGACACTAGAGAGAGAAAAGAGAGAGAGACTAAAGAGAGATCTGAAAGCGAAACCAGAGAAAGAGAGACTAGAGAGATAAACTAGAGAGAGAAACCAGAGAGAGAGAGACAAGAGAGAGCGAGAGTGAGTAGAGAGATCTGGAAGAGAAACCAGAGAGAGAGACCAGAGAGAGACCAGAAAAAGAGACCAGGGAGAGCGAGAGAAAGAGACCAGAAAGAGAGACCAGGGAGAGAGAGAGAGATAGACAAGAACGAGTATCAAATGTATTCCAATGTGGTTTTTCTGCAAATGGCAAAAAAAATAATCTATGGTGATTCTGCGAAAGACCAGAGAGAGAGAGACAAGTGAGAGACCAGAGAGAGAGAGACAAGTGAGAGACCAGAGAGAGAGAGACAAGTGAGAGACCAGAGAGAGAGAGACAAGTGAGAGAGCAGAGAAAGCCACACGTTGTTACAGTATATAAGAGAGAGAAAAGTAAAAAGTGGAGAGAGGGACCACAAACACACCATGTCCTGGACTCTGGGCTCTGTCGTCGGGAGAGAGCTCTTACATAACATCCTTAAACATTATGCAAGAAGAAGGAGTTGGAATTGAATGTGACTCTTGAGCTCACAGGGACTGTACCTGTGGTCAGATCTGCTGATTCATAATTTAGCAGCGTTTTTCTGTGTCACGGGAAGAGAAGAAAGATTTCAGCTGTAATGAAAGACGATCCAAGAAGCCGTCTAGATCCTGTGCTCAGAGAGACGGGAACGCTCTGCTAAAATTACAACAGGAGAGAGACCAGAGAGAGAGAGACCAGAGAGAGAGACAAGAGAGACAGACAAGAGAGAGAGACAAGAGAGACAGACAAGAGAGAGAGAGAGGCAAGAGAGAGAGACAAGAGAGAGAGACCAGAGAGAGACCAGAGAGAAACCAGAGAGAGAGAGGCAAGAGAGAGAGACAAGAGAGAGAGACCAGAGAGAGAGAGGCAAGAGAGAGAGACAAGAGAGAGGACAGAGAGAGAGACCAGAGAGAGAACAGAGAGATACCAGAGAGAGAGAGAGAGGCCATAGAGAGACCAGAGAGAGAACAGAGAGATAGCGACAAGAGAGAGAGACAAGAGAGAGAGTCCAGAGAGACCAGAGAGAGGCAAGAGAGAGACTAGAGAGAGAGAGAACACAGAGAGAAAACACAAAGAGAGATAAGAGAGAGAGACCAGAGAGAGAGACCAGAGAGAGGACAGAGAGAGACCAGAGAGAGAACAGAGAGAGAGCGACCAGAGAGAGAGACAAGAGAGAGATCAGAGAAAGACAAAAGAAAGACAAGAGAGAGGCACAGTGAGAGAGACAGAGAGCGAGAGAGACCAGAGAGAGAACAAAGAGGGACTAGAGAGAGACTAGGGAGAGATTAGTGAGAGACAAAAGAGAGACAAGAGAAAGCTCCACATTGTTATATAAATACAGTGACAACCTTTTAAATATACATGAGACAGATTTGAGGTGTTTGGACGGTTTCTCTGCAGCTGTGAGGTCTCTCGCCTGAAGAGCGTGAGAGCGTGAACGTGAACAGCTCACCACATGAACTGTTCCGCTGTAGGATCTGTCATCACCAAATCCAACGAGGATATTGACTTTGTTGTGCCATGTTTTAGAAGCTATAATATACAGTAGAAAACATAATAAAACAAGTGTGAGTGGTATAAAATGCTTTCGGCCTGTAACTCCTGAAGCTGCCACCAGAGGGAGGAGTTACATATCAGATACTAGAGAGATACCATAGAGATACCAGAGAGAGAGAGAAAGGCCATAGAGAGGCCAGAGAGAGACCAGAGAGAGACCAGAGAGAGACCAGAGAGATACCAGAGAGAGACCAGAGAGAGAGAGAAAGGCCATAGAGAGGCCAGAGAGAGACCAGAGAGAGACCAGAGAGATACCAGAGAGAGACCAGAGAGAGAGAGAAAGGCCATAGAGAGGCCAGAGAGAGACCAGAGAGAGACCAGAGAGAGACCAGAGAGATACCAGAGAGACCAGAGAGAGATATCAGAGAGATACCAGAGAGAGACCAGAGAGAGACCAGAGAGAGACCAGAGAGAGGGGCCAGAGGGAGACCAGAGAGAGGGGCCAGAGGGAGACCAGAGAGAGACCAGAGGGAGACCAGAGGGAGACCAGAGGGAGACCAGAGGGAGACCAGAGGGAGAGAGAGACCAGAGAGAGAGAGAGAGGCCAGAGAGAGGCCAGAGAGAGACCAGAGAGAGATCGCCAAAGAGAGACCAGAGAGACCAGAGGGAGACCAGAGACAGACCAGAGGGAGACCAGAGAGACCAGAGGGAGACCAGAGACAGACCAGAGGGAGACCAGAGAGACCAGAGGGAGACCAGAGACAGACCAGAGGGAGACCAGAGACAGACCAGAGGGAGACCAGAGAGAGACCGGAGGGAGACCAGAGAGAGAGACCAGCGAGAGGCCAGAGAGAGAGAAAGGACAGAGAAAGAGACCAGAGAGAGAGACCAGAGAGAGACCAGAGAGAGAGACCAGAGAGAGAGAGAGAGAATGGACCAGAGAGAGAGGGAGAGAGAGAGGCCAGAGAACTTTTTCATCACCGTGTGTGGAGTGAAAGAATAATTACATGTAAAGTGTCTTTGAACGTCCAGAAAAACGCTTCCTAAAAAAAAATCCAAAGCATTAAATCGGCTTCACATGCGTTGAGGCGAACATTGTGATGTCACATGTT